ACCTTTTGAGAGTTGAATCCACATTAAATTGCCATGGACGATGCAATAGGATATAACAAGCATACCTGTCTATAACATCACACATAATTTCCTCCTTACAGTGTTTACCAATAAGAACAGGTAGTTTGCAAGTTTCGGCAACTTGAATAGAATGACATCTCTTCACCCAACTAAGGGAATAAGGTCTAGGATGGTTCTTTATTGGTAATTTCAGCAAATTCACCAACCTCTTCGACATTAAGTTCTTACAGTTTCCGTTGTCTACAATCATTTCACACACCTTATTCTTAACCCAAAAAAGCGACCAAAAGATGTAGTGACGCTATGCCTCCTTCTTAGGTGACAAAAGGATGTGATGCAATACCAAAGTGAGCCTCTCAATACCTTTCTCAACAGCAAACTCAACTCCTGCATACTCATCTTCCACATCATTATCTTCTTCCTCGTCCACTGTCTCCGGTTCCACCAAATTGCCCTGCATTCTTTCTGGACAAGTATTGGAACGATGCCCACGCTTGTGGCATCTATACCAAATATCTCACGTGGGCTTGTATTCTAAGGTGCCCCTCAAGTCTGACCTCTGTTTCCAAACTGACCACAGTTGTCAACATTGTTCCTGTTAGGATTGGCTGGTTGTGGGGCCTTTCCTTTGTCCGAAGAAACGGATGGTGATAGTTCGGCATGTAGGGGTCTTCTGTACGAAATCACCCTCTTATCAGATTCCATCATCTCAGCCTTCCTCGCCATGTTAATGGCTTTCATGCAACGTCCGGATATTCTACAACCCAATTCTATCTTAAATAACATTCTTTTGATTTACAGACTCTAATAGGTTGTTCCGCTCTGTCAACTATATAAATTCATTGGTATAGTCTGATACAGTACGATTACCCTGCGTGCATCCCAAGTACATTCGATACAAAATCTGTTCATAATTTACGGGTAGAAATCAATCCATCATGGACTGTTTTATCATTCCCCTACTTTGAATCCAACTATTTCCTTGTCTCCTTCGAGCATTCTTTAATTGATCCCACCATACTGCTGCTGTAGATTTCAAATGGAACACCACCATTTTAATCATCTTGTCCTTCGAAAAAACCATAATTTTGAAAAATCATTCAACCTCTACCAACCAAATTAAGAAGTCATTGATCTTCATGTTACCAAAGAACGGGGGAATGTCTGCTTTAATTCGATAAGCATCAAAGGTATTTCGGTTTTCAGTTTTGATGATTAGGTTACGCGGCTGGCTTTGAACTCCTCCTCTAACTCTGATTCACTTTCTTTTGCTGCACGTCTCCTATTATTTCCT